AAAAAAAAAAAAAAAAGAATCCTCAAGGAATATACAGCATTTAGAACCTGCCAGAAGAGTCATCTTAGTAGCATTTCAAAGGTTCTACTCTTTTCAAGACAGCTGAGATTTTCTCCCAATTCCCACCTGGGCCACACTTGCTCACCTGGACAGCTCTGATGTGGATTCTCACCCTGCAGTGCCCATGGCTCCTTTCCTTGCTCTAACATGCCAGCCTCTCCTTTGGGAAGTTGATACCCTGTGCACAGGAAATGACAAAGGAGTAGGTCAAACTAATTATGTTTTACAGCCCAATCAATAAAGTCTTATTGTTCAATGAAGATTTGTTCTTCAGAAAAATAGCCACATATCTCCAAGAATAAAGTAATATTCTGAGTGCCCTAAAGAGATAAACAATCCTGGCCAAAAATCAAGGATAAAACCATCACCTATTGAAGATGCTTTCATCTCTCAGTGAGGCTTCCTTTCACACGTCAAGGTGACTGTGCTTACCTACTGACAGCAGGTGGCTGTAGGTCTCCAGCATCACATCCCAGTAGAGGTTTCTCTGAGAAGGATCCAGGTGCTGCCATTCCTCTCTGCTGAAATCTATAGCCACATCCTTGAAGGACACTGATCCCTGTAAGGGTACATTCTTGTTCAATGTGAATAGTTAGCTTTGGGGGATGGAGAGACAATTACTCCGAAATATGGAACATGGGTTTTGTTGTTGCTTTTAATTTACCTCTTCTTTATAAAAACTCACAAAAAAAAGAGCCTCCACTTTCATATTAAACAGAGCTGGACTCTAGAGAAAAAATATTAAACATGACAAGTGCACAATCCAAAATGAATTTAAGATGCTTTTACTACCAATGCACCACATTACATAGACTCAAAATTCATGCATAGAACTTAGGAAAATATAGATAGAAATACATTTGTGGTGGCAAACTTCAAATAAAATCTCACAGCTCCATGAGATAAAGTAGAAGAAACATGTAATACTACAAAAAAACCTCCTAACTTTTAAGGTTTGTCTTTATTTGTTCAGATTTGTTTGTTTGTTTGTTTTGGAGAAAGTCTTACTTTGGTACCCTGGGTAGAGTGCTGTGATATCATAGCTCACAGCAACCTCAAACTCTTGGGCTCAAGTGATCCTCTTACCTCAGCTTCTCTAATAGCTGGGACGATAGGTGCCCACCACTCCACCTGTCTGGTTTTTCTATTTTTAGCAGAGACAGGGTCTCCCTCTTGCTCAGACTGGTCTCTAACTCCTCATCTCAAGCAATCCTGCTGTACTGGCCTCCCAGAGTGCTAAGATTACAGTAGTGAGCCAATGTACCCAGCCAACTTTAGGTATCTTATTGATAAAATATGAAATTCTACATTCTAAAAACATTTTGAGTATCTGTGTGAAGTATTAAACATAAAATTTCAAAGCATAAAACAAAGAAAAGCTTTTATGACATTCCAAAAAGCAAATAAATCTCTCCAATTCTGAAATCCTAATTTTAATAAAACTATAATCTTTTAAATAAAAATCCTTTTTTTCTTTTTGAAACAGAGTCTCAAGCTATCACCCTGGGTCGAGTGCCATGGTGTCACAGCTCACAGCAACCTCAAACTCTTGGGATTAAGGGATTCTCTTGCCTCAGCCTCCCAAGTAGCTGGGACTATAAGGCGCCCACCACAATGCCCTGCTATTTTTCTTGTTGCAGTTATCACTGTTGTTTAACAGGCCCAGGCCAGGTTTGAACCAGCCAGCCTCACTATATGTGGCTGGAACCCTACCCACTGAGCTACAGGCACTACCCTGAATGAAAATCTTAACACCTAGAAATAAAAATGGGCTCAAGTGGCTAGGGCACCAGCCACATACACCTAAGGTGGCGGGTTCGAATCCCCAGCCCGGGCCCGCCAAACAACAATGATGGCTGCAACCAAAAAATGGCCAGGCATTGTGTCGGGCACCTGTGTTCCCAGCTACTTGGGAGGCTGAGGCAGGAGACTTGCTTGAGCCCAGGAGTTGGAGGTTGCTGTGAGCTGTGATCCCACAGCACTCTACCCAGGCGGATAGCTTGAGGCTCTGTCTCAAATAAATAAATAAATAAATAAAAATGTGGTAAATCATAGCAGCTCACATGTGTAATCCTAGCACTCTGGGAGGCTGAGGTGAGTGGATTGCCTGAGTTCACAGGTTTGAGACCAGCCTGAGTCAGAGTGAGATCTCCTCTCTTAAAAAATAGACTCACTGGCTCAGCACCTGTAGCACAGTGGTTATAGCACCAGCCACATAAACCCAGACTGGATGGTTCGAACCCAGCCTGGGCCAGCTAATAACAATGACAACTACAACAAAAAATAGCCAGGCGTTGTGGTGGGTCCCACTACTTAGTAGTCCCAGCTACTTAGGAGGCTCAGGCAAGAGAATTGCTTAAGCCCAAGAGTTGGAGGTTGCTGTGAGCTGTGACACCATAGCACTCTACCAAGGGCAGAGGGTGACAAAGGGAGACCCTGTCTCAAAAAAAAAGAAAGAAAGAAAGAAATTCATCCTTATCATCTAGACTTTTAAATTTATTTTCACGAAATAAATTACTTTTCTTAATTATTTTTAGTATTATTTCATTATACTGTATCTCATAGCTTCTGATATATAGTATTTTTATACTTTTAAAGATACTTTCTATTTTCTTTTCTCTTTTTTTTTTTTTTTTTAGGCAGAGTCTCACTATGTCGCCCTTAGTAGAGTGCTGTGGTGTCACAACTCATAGCAAATTCTTGGGTTTAAGTGATTCTCTTGCCTCAGCCTTCCAAGTAGCTGGGACTACAGGTGCCCATCATAATGCCTGGCTATTTTTGTTGTAGTTGTCATTGTTGTTTGGAAGGCCCGGGCTGGATTCAAACCTGCCAGCTCTGGTGTATGAGGCTGGGGCCCTAGCTGCTGAGCTACAAGTGCTGAGCCAATACTTTCCTACTTTCGTTTTGACTTCTTTGACATTGGAGTGGGTTGCTGAATGAGAAAATAGTGGGTTTTTTTTTTTTTTATTTTGAAACAGAGTCTCACTATGTCACCTCAGTAGAGTGCCGTAACATCACAGCTCACAGCAACCTCAAATTCTTAGCCTTAAGCGCTTCTCTTGCCTCAGTAGCTGAGATTAGCACAACACCCAGTTATTTTTTGGTTGTAGTTGTCATTGTTGTTTGGCAGGCCTGGGCTGGGTTTGAACCCGACAGCTCTGGTGTATGTGGCTGGTGCCCTAGCCATTGAACTATAGGCACCAAGCCAAGAATATTATCTTTTACCTAAAACTTTGGCAGAAAGATCAGGTGAAAAACATATGAACTTTTCCATTATTTTTTATTGTGTTTAAAGTGTTGAATTAACATTTTATTTTGGTTTAGCACTTATAGCTCAAGCAGCTAAGCTGCCAGACACATACACCAGAGCTGGTGGGTTCAAGTCCTGCCCAGGCCTGCCAAATGACAATGACAATGACATCCAAACAATAGCCAAGGCTCAGCGCCTGTGGCTCAAGCAGTGAAGGCGCCAGCCACATACACCTGAACTGGGGGGTTCGAATCCAGCCTGGGCCCGCCAAAGAACAATGATGGCTGCAACCAAAAAAAGAGCTAGGCGTTGTGGCAGGCGCCTATAGTCCCAGCCACTTGGGAGGCGGAGGCAGGAGACTCGCTTGAGCCCAGAAGTTGGAGGTTGCTGTGAGCTGTGATGTCACAGCACTCTACCCAGGGGGACAGCTTGAGGCTCTGTCTCAAAAAAAAAAAAAATTATTCTTTTGTTTAGGTTTTCATATTTTTTGCATGATTTTATATGATACTCTTTCACAATTATTTCAACCTTGTGCACAGAACTATTTCTCATGTTTTGTTACATACTTTGGTTTATACTCTTTTGCCTGATTATTACCACCTAGAAGTAGCTTCTTTCTAGCAAACATCTCTATCAATTATTTTTCTTTGCTGTGATTGATTTCTTCCCTTATCTTTGTTTAGTCCTTATTGTTCTTTTATCTTTACTGACTTCTTTTACTAATTTCTTCATCTGAAACCATAACACATCTTTTTTTTTTTTTTTTTGAGACAGAGTCTTACTATGTCACCCTCAGTAGAGTACTGTGGCGTCACAGCTCACAGCAACCTCAAACTCTTTGGGCTTAAGCAATTCTCTTGCCTCAGCCTCCCAAGTAGCTGGGACTACAGGTGCCCACCACAATGCCCTGCTATTTTTTGGTTGTAGTTGTCACTGTTGTTTAGCAGGCCCAGCCAAGGCTCGAACCTGCCAGTTCTGGTGTATGTGGCTGGCACTGTAACCACTGAACTACAGGTGCCAGCCATATAACACATATCTTAAGTCTATTTTCTCCCCCAAACTTCCAGAAGTGCTTAAAAATAAGGCATATAAATTTATATTGTTCCTCTCTATCTATAGTTTAGTTTCCACACAAACTTTAAATGCAGGACTTTATTGATTTTTTTTTTTTTTTGAGACAAGAGTCTCACTATGTCATCCTTGGTAGAGTGCTATGGTGTCACAGCTCACAGCACCCTCAAATTCTTGGGCTTAAGAGATTCTCTTGCCTCAGCCTCCCAAGTAGCTGGGACTACAGGCATCTGCCACAATGCCAGGCTATTTTTTGGGGGGGGTTGTAGTTCTCATTGTTGTTTGGCAGGCTCGGGCTGGGTTTGAACCCAATATCTCCCGTGTATGTGGCTGGTGCCCTGGCTGCTCAGCTACAGGTGTGGAGCCTATTGATTTTTTTAATTGTGGAAAAATATATAAAAATAATGAAAATATCAAAGCATCCAATTCAGTGGCATTAAGTGTATTCATTTTGTTTTGTAAGAAGCTGTTATTTTTTTATTTCTAATTTAATGCTATTGGTAAGAAAACAGAATCATGCTTGGTGCCTGTGGCTCAAGTGGCTAAGACGCCAGCCACGTACACCTAAGGTGGCGGGTTTGAATCCAGCCTGGGTCTGCCAAACAACAATGATGGCTGCAACCAAAAAAATAAAATAAAAACCAGGCGTTGTGGCAGGCGCCTGTAGTCCTAGCTACTTGGGAGGCAGAGGCAGGAGACTCGCTTGAGCCCAGGAGTTGGAGGTTGCTGTGAGCTGTGACACGGCACTCTGCCCAGGGGGACAGCTTGAGGCTCTGTCTCAAAAAAAGAAAAAAAGAAAGAAAGAAAACAGAATCAATGTTACAGGAAAATTTTATATTTTTCCTGCTTTGATCAATGTTTTGAGAGTACTGGGATAAAATGCCCAATGGTGTATTTTATTTTTAGCTAATACAATTCAAAGATACATTAGCAACTAAATAAATGTTGATAATTTTTGTAATTCTTTGTATATTATTCCTTTTATAAATATGAACCACCAAGCTTTAACCCTTGGTATTTTTCATCTCAAATTCCTTTGGATCTGTTCCTAAAATTGCAGCCCTCGCTTTCTTTTGGTTCTTGTTTCTTGTTTCTTTTTTTTTGAGACAGAGCCTCAAGCTGTTGCCCTGGGTAGAGGGCAGTGACATCACAGCTCACAGCAACCTCCAACTCCTGGGCTCAAGCGAGTCTCCTGCCTCAGCCTCCCAAGTGGCTGGGACTATAGGCGCCTGCCACAACGCCTAGCTCTTTTTTTGGTTGCAGCCATCATTGTTGTTTGGCGGGCCCAGGCTGGATTCGAACCCCCCAGTTCAGGTGTATGTGGCTGGCGCCTTAGCTGCCTGAGCCACAGGCACTGAGCCTGGTTCTTGTTTCTAAGTCAATCTTTTTCCATTCCTTTATTTTAGAATGAGGACAATGTAGTCCCTCATAACTGAGAACTGGCCTAGTACTATCAGTCAGAGTTGCTAGAGGATAACCTTCTAGAATTAGCTAAGACCTGGTATTCTCCATAGCGCTACAAAAACAACCTCACAGAACACCAGCATCAAACAAAATCGCTCTCTGACCATCATGGTATAAGATAAAACTAAGATCCTGTCATGGGTGGGGAATCTGCAGCATTAGGGCCACATGTGGCCTCCTATATTCTTAAGTGCAGCCTTCTGACCTCCAATTTTATAGAACACAACTCATCTTTTTTATTAGAAGCGGTGCAGTAGAGTAAGATGAAGCTTTTCGTGCCTCCTTTGGAGCTTAAAAAAGAACAATCTTGAAATCAGAAGATCACAAGTTCCCCTCCCCAAACTGTCTCCTTATTTTGCCTCATACAAGTGAGTGCTACTTCTTTGCCAATGATTTCTTAGGCCTCAATCCATTCTTACTATCTTCTAGATGAAAATTACTATTTTTTTCTTTCTTTTTTTGCAGTTTTTGGCCGGGGCTGGGTTTGAACCCATCACCTCTGGCATATGGGGCTGGCGCCCTATTCTGTTGAGCCACAGGCACCACCCCTTCTAGATGAAAATTATTATATACCCAATCATAAAACTACCCAGCAGGAAAAGAAATAGAGGTTCACTGAGATTCACCTGGCACTCTCACTGCTGTGACTAAACTATAAAATGAAATTCCATTACTTCTTATCTGTCCAAGAGAATGGGAAGACGTTGGGGGGCACCAGTGGCTCAGTGGGTAGGGCCCAGCCCCATTTACCGAGGATGGCAGGTTTGAACCTGGCTCTGGCCAAACTGCAACAGAAAAATAGCGGGCGTTCTGGCAGGCGCCTGTAGTCCCGGCTACTCAGGAGGCTGAGGCAAAAGAATTGCCAAAGCCCAGGAGTTGGAGGTTGCTAAGAGCTGTGATGCCACAGCACTCTACCGAGGGCAATAAAGTAAGACTTAAAAAAAAGAGAAAGGAAGGAAGAAAGGGAAGACATGACAAGAATGTCCCCTATACATTGTTCATAATATTTTTTGTATTTTTTTTTTT